TATACACCCCATGTATGAATGCTTTACGTTGAAACAATATGGAGTTTCAGAATTACCTTTTTCACTTGTAGGCGCAAAAGGATGACGCCCTCCAACGGTGATCCACACGGTTATCTCTTTCTTGCTAGCGAGAACTCTTTCTCCTTGATCCCTCCTTATCCTCGGTGGCTGGCTAGGCGCATGCAAGGAAGAGGCTACCAAGTGTTTGTATTATCTTTCTCAAGACTATAATGGTGTCTTGAGGCTAGGTGATGGTGCAAAAAAGGAGAGAGAAGAAGAAATGTTGGAACTTTTCCTAGAACCCTTAAGAGGAGAGAGGGAGCATCAGGTTTTTCTAATTATCTGATCAACTGCATCAGCCCCCCATTTAGTTAGGCGCAAATTTGAATGGTGAGAGGATCTTTCTTTGCTTGATCCTCTCACTTAACAACTGACCAGACTGTTGGGAGCCTTTGGAAGCTTCATGACTTGAATTCAAAATTCAAGTATGGATTATATCCATTTGTTCCATGAAATCTGATACAGAATCCAGTCAAGATATCTCTCTCCACATAGGCGCCCATCTTCCTCTTCTTCCCTCAGAAATTTTGTTGCAACAATATTAATTTGAATTCTATATTCAAATGAAAAAGCAGTTGAGAGAATCTCCATCCAATCTCTATTGGATAATTCTTTTAAATAATTTTAAATTATCCTCAACAACCTAACCTCATAGAATTTAAAATTCAAATTCAAAATTCAAATTCCAATTTGCAATTTAAACTCAAATATAAATTCCATCTTATCCCAGTTCGTAATTCGAATTCGAAATCCAAATCCAAATTTCAAAATTCAAAATTCAAAATTCAAATTTCAAATTTCAAATTTCAAATTTCAAAATTCAAATTTCAAATTTGCCCAAACCTTATTTTGGTCAAGTCAACTCTTTGACTTACTAGGATTCATGCCCCGAGGCCTCTTTGGCCTACCATCATATTTAGGCCCATTAGTGGAGAAAACTCTTTCACCACTAATGCCCCAAAAGGGCGCATGGATCAAGTGGGCTTGGAGTCCCTACTCCAACCCAACTTGACTCATAGTCTTGACAAAGCCCAATAACTTATTATTGGTCTAAACTTGCTATAACTTGCGATAAGGAATAACCTTTGTGTGTGACCCATGAGGACCAATTAGTTACTGACATAAATAAACTTGAACCAGTTAAACTCCTTTAAAAAGGCTCAATCCATTTAATGACTACATGATACACTAGCAATGCTCTGTAGCCCCAGAACTAATTGAGTTGATCAAGTGATCTACCTTTCTGATTTGGATACCGTGCAGCATTATCCCTCACATCGTCGGTCACATTTAGTCGAGAGCAAGGATAGAGTATCATCTCTCTTTATTGACTAAATAAAATATTTCACAGGAACTAGGAATCTTCTTCTATTGACTCTTAGACAGATTATAACTCTTCATGATCTCTTACTATGCATAGATTCTCGAATCAACTAGAAGTCATCTCAGCCCTATCGGTCTTTGTGAACGACTAATCCCTTATAGGGGATTGTGAGTCCTTTCGGCATGTCCATCTTTACTTATGTATTCGAGTTATACCTAAGAGTACACTGTTCTCCCCATTTTCAGGCGAATAGAGTTGTACAATCAAAGTATAACTCTAGGACATAGTATTCGATGACATCCTTAAGTCTAGGACGATCCGCACTACCAAACATTCAGAGACTTTACAAATCCAATGATACTTTCCATAATGAATCCTTGTGGAGTCTCTAGGGGTTCAGTTCAGTGTTATTTGTTCTCCAACAGATCCACCCACGACATCAGCTAAGGCATCACCATGCATGCATTCCATAAGGTCCCTACCTTGTATCTCCATACAAGTAGATGATGTCGTACTAGTCTTATTGAGATCACCAATACCCTTTCTTGGTGATTCAAGACCAGGAACAAATTTTAGGTAATAGACATTCAGTGGCCTCGAGTCCTCATGATCATGATCCCTATCATAGATCCTCGAGTGTACACCTATTCTATTCCTAGAGTCTTTATCTTTAAACGTATATTTACAATGAAATATTGGCGAGACATAAATATGATAAAGATAAAGTTTGCTCAAATTTATTAATCATGAAATACTAAATAGAAAAAGGTGTTCATCTGTTAAAATATATTGTCTCTAGGACACCTATACACTAACAATCTCCCACTTGGCCTAGAGCCAATCAGGTCGACGTGTTAAACCTAAAGACTCATAATGACTATCATGTTTTCTCCGAGAGAGACCCTTCGTCAGATAATCGGCCAAATTATCATCAGTGGGAACGTAGTCCATCTTTATCTCCATTCTTTCAATAATCTCTCGGATGAGGTGATACTTTCGGAGCACATGTTTGGACCTTTGATGAGACCAGGGTTCCTTGCCTTGGGCTATAGCACCAGTGTTGTCACAATACAAAGGTATTGGATCAACAATGCTCGGAACCACTCCAAGTTCTGCAACGAACTTCTTGATCCAGACTGCCTCTTTAGCCGCTTCTGAAGCCGCTATGTATTCTGCCTCAGTAGTAGAGTCTGTCGTGGTCTCTTGCTTGGAACTCTTCCAAGAAACTACTCCACCATTTAAGGTGTATATAATGCCTGACTGAGATTTACAGCCGTCTTTATCACTCTGGAAGCTTGCATCAGTGAATTCCTTCACTATCAGCTCATTACAGCCACCATAAACCAGAAACAAATCCTTAGTCCTTCTCAAGTACTTAAGGATTGTCTTCACGGCCGTCCAGTGACTCTTTCCTGGGTCAGACTGGTATCGGCTAGTAATGCTTAAAGCATAAGAGACGTCTGGTCTAGTACATAACATGGCGTACATGATGGATCCAATTGCTGATGCATATGGAATCCTTTCCATGCATTTCCTTTCGACAGGTGTCTTAGGACATATAGCCTTAGAGAGATGAATGCCATGACCGACAGGAAGAAAACCCCTTTTTGACCCATCCATGCTAAACCTCTTTTGCATATTGTCTATGTACGTGGATTTGGACAATCCCAGTAACCTCTTGGATCTATCTCTATAGATCTTAATACCTAGTATATAGGTTGCCTCTTCCATATCCTTCATGGTGAAGTTCTCATACAACCAAACCTTTGTGGACTGTAACATGGGAATGTCATTTCCAATGAGCAATATGTCATCTACATATAGCATAAGGAAAACAACAGCATTCCCACTAACCTTCTTATAGACACATGGTTCATCCTCATTCTTGATAAAACTGTTATCCTTAACGACTTCATCAAAACGAAGATTCCAACATTCCCACTAATCTTCTTGAAGTTTGCACACCATATGCTCTTGACTCTTGGATTCAAAACCTTCAGGTTGTGTCATATACACTTCATCCTTCAAGAACCCATTCAAGAAGGAGGTTTTGACATCCATTTGCCAAACTTCCTAATCATAATATGCGGCTATCGCTAGCATGATCCTAATAGATTTGATAATGGCAACAGGTGAGAAGGTTTCCTCAAAGTCAATTCGTTGTCTTTGACGGTAACCCTTCGCAACCAACCTAGCTTTATAGGTTTGGATGTTGCCATCAACATCAGTCTTCTTCTTGAAAACCCACTTGCACCCAATAGGAACTATTCCCTCAGGTGGTGGAACCAAGGTCCATACCTTGTTCTGATGCATCAAATATATTTCGGATTCCATGGCTTCTTGCCATTTTAAGGAGTCAACATCCTTGACTGCCTCATTGTAGGAAGCAGGCTCGTTATCCTCAACGGTCTGCTGATTCTCAATCACAAAACCGTACCTCTCAGGTGGATGACTAAACCTAGTGCTCCTACGGGGCTGGGTGTCTGCTGCCTCCAATTGAGGCATCGCCTGATCAACAGACTCGGGTTCCCCTATCTGTTCTTGTAGGTCTTGAATTTCTTCAAGTTTTACCTTACTCCCACTATCTTCTCGAGAAAGAAGGTTTCCTCAAGAAAAGTAGCGTTCTTGGACACAATAACTCTTTGGTCCTCAGGGAAGTAAAAGTAGTATCCCTTAGTTTCTTTGGGATATCCTACAAAGTAGCACAAGGTGCTTCTAGCTCCTAACTTTCAGGTGCTAGGGTCTTGACATAAGCTGGACAATCCCATACCTTGAGATAACTCAAGTTGGGTTTCCGGCCCCTCCATATCAGATATGGAGTAGTCAGAACAGATTTCGACGGTACCTTATTAAGAAGATGTAACGCCGTATGCAGAGCGAATCCCCAAAATGATTTTGGGAGCTTCGTACCACTCATCATAGGCACCATGTCTAACAAGGTTCGGTTCCTCCTCTCTGACACACCATTCTGATGTGGTGTGTAAGGAGCCGTCAACTGTGAGAGAATCTCATTCTCTCTTAGATAATCCTGAAACTCTTGACTCAGATATTCGCCACCCCGATCAGATCGAAGTGTCTTAATCATCTTGCCAAGTTGTTTCTCCACTTCATTCCTAAACTCTTTGAACTTTTCAAAGGCCTCGGATTTGTGTCTCATAAGATACACATATCTGTATCTGGACTTATCATCAGTAAAGGTAATGAAATAGGAGTATCCTCCTCTAGCCTGAGTAGATAAGGGCCCATAAACATCAGAATGAATGAGTTCTAGTAACTCATTGGCTCTATGACTCACAAGTTTCTCAACCTTGGTCTTCGTCATTTTACCAGCCAAACAAGACTCACAAGGTCCATAGGATTCAAAATCCATGGAATCCAGATAACCATCGTGATGGAGTCTAGACAGTCTTATCTCATTAATGTGTCCCAATCTACAATGCCAAAGATAGGATCGATTACCTAATCTAGGCTTCTTAGTCTGAATACTAAGAATGTCACTCTCCGTATTTAAATCCAAAACATACAATGCATTCACTCTAGATGCGCAAGCATAAACAAGATCATTCATAATGATGGAAAACTTGCCATCTTTTATTACAAAGTGAAAAGCAGATTGTTCCAAACTAGAAATAGAAATAATGATTCGAAAAATTGACGGAACATAGAAACAATTATTCAAATGTATAGAAAGGCCCGTAGGCAACAAAAGATCCACATACCCAACGGCTAGTGCAACAACTCTTACTCCATTCCCGACGCGGAGATTGACCTCATTCTTCTCCAGCTTGCTAGGACTCTTTAGTACCTGCAACAAATTGCAGATATGAGATCCACAACCAGTATCCAATACCCATGAAGCTGAATCAACACTTGAAAAATTAATTTCTATAGTGAACATACCAGAGGCTGAAGCATCATCATAATTCTTTCCCTTGAGGCTCGCAAGGAATAATGGGAAATTTCTCTTCCAATGTTCTTCCTTCTGACAATGGAAGCATATAGTTTTAGCATTGTTCTTGGATTTCTCCTTTCCTTTCACTTTGCCCTTGCCTTTCTTCTTCTTGGGCTGACCTTTGGGCTTGAGATAAACTTTGAACTGCCAACAGCTTCAGTCCCGTGTAGCTTTTAAACTTTAAAGGCTCTCCAGTTCAGCAAGAAGAGCTCCCATTCAAAATGTTAGATAAATAACTGCCCTTTGTATATATACCTCTGCCACTCTACTTCCATGAAAGAATAAAAATAAAAACCATCAACTAAGCATAAATGAAGTGGCACAGACACTATTACTAGATAGTTTATATATATAACAAAACAGTTATACAAAGGGAAAGAGACACAAAGCTACTGAACAAACGACCCATATAAAAATGGCCAAAGATCTAAAAATGTAACACACATACACACTAAATATCCGGAACCACAACCAAAGGTAATCACCAACCTAAAGATTGAAACATTCCTTTGTAGCTGATCATTCTTAAAGTGCTAAACATAGTTTATTAGGATTCTGATGGAACCCAGAAATTCACAGAAAGAATAACAACAATTAATAGTAAAATAACACTTCTATTAACAGCAAGACATGAAATACAACGATGAAAATACAGAAAAAATAAACCAAAGGTCTCAACTCACCCTCAAAGCCAAAGACCTCGGCCTTAAGAGATCCGTAGAGATCCTTTTCCCAATTCTCAATTTCGATTACGCTGAATACATGCATATAGACACCTCACCCTAAACATCTATATATATTAATCCTAACTAATGATAACTAATGGGCTTGGATATTTATTGAAGGCCCATCAGATACAAACCCTGGATGGAAAGTGAAGAACAACACTCCTCAACATAACAATTATTAAGACATCTCTGTTCTGATAAGTTACTTTCTTAATTTCTACATTAACTGATAACCCCCCACTTCAAACAAACTCAACTTAGCTACTACTGAATTTGAACAGGCTCAAGACCATTGTCAATTGAAGCCTTCACAGCATCTATAACCACTTGTGTTTTCCTGCTAATGGTTGGCCACTTACTCTCATGTTTTGAGTTCTTGAACTTAATTGCTCCGACCAAATGAGCAAATTCCCTAACCATAAGTGCCTCCTGAGGGAGATCTGTGTGAATTGTATGTTCAATTGGTTTTGGAGCCCAACCTTTAGCAAGTTCCACAAAGTAAGAATTTGAACTTGTGGAAAATAAGGCCTCATTCTCTTGGTTAGGAATAACATAATCATGAACTCGCAAAGACCCTTTTGTTCCCATTGCAGTTATATCCATTGACATATCTGATAAGAAGGAACAATAAAAGGTTGCTACTTTGTCATCATCCCACAATAGAGAAGCCTCACAAGCTAGAATAACGCCAGCTTTATTATATGTAGGTTTGCGTAAGGTTCGCGCAGTTTTAGGTAACTCGTAGTTTGCAGCCCATAAGATTGCTCTGACACAATACCACCCAGTATCACCAAGAGTTCCAAGAACATCAAGGTCTGGCTTCACTCGAATGTCATTCTCTAGAAAATAAGGAGTAACACCATAAGAAAAATTTGCATGTACCTGTAAGCAAGATACAAATGACAAAAGAATCAGAAAATAATGAAGCATAAGCAAATATTCAAATATTCAAAGGTCTGGCTTCACTCGAATGTTATTCATATGATAGAACATGAATTTTGTACATGGGGGCAAGGATAAGGTAGTATCTAATAGCACAAAAGCTTTTTCTAAGTACAAAGGGTTAATTTTGAAAATGAATCCTTTCCTATCTAATTTTAATATCATCATAAATCTCAATCATTCATTGATAAACTTCATGAAATAAAAAAAGAAAAAAAAATTCAAGTATTGTTAACCATTGATTATTATAAAAGGATTGGAATTTAAGAATTTAAAAGAGAAAGAACAATACACATTCATTAATTCACAATGGGTATAAAATTCTGAAAGAATGGGGCTGAAGTGATAAATTAGTATATGATAATGAGAGATTTAGAAATTTAAGTGAGGGCATATACTCCATTATAAAGTGGGTCTGTTATTACATAACATAACATTTTATGACTCAGTTATTTCTATTTTTTTATTTTTTATTTTTTATTTTTTTTATTTCAACTTTTAAGGAGGCAAATTAAAAAAAATTATGTCTACTTATAAAAATAGAAAGAGTAAATATCATTTTTGGTCCCTAACAAAAAATACGGTCCCCACTTTAGTCCCTTACAAAAATAAATTAGTCAGTTAGTCTCTAACAAATTCAAAGTGGAACCATTTAGTTGAAATCGTGGTCTCTCACAAATTTAAAAAAGACCTATATTAGTCTCTCAAAAGGACTAAAATAGGTCCACTTTGAATTTGTTAAGGATTAACTGACTAATTTATTTTTATAAGAGACTAAAGTGGGGACCGTATTTTTTTGTTAGGGACCAAAAATAATGTTTACTCAAATATAAATAAATAAACAAGCTAGTAAAGGATAAAAGTTGGATCTGTCGAGCGAGAAGAGTAAACAAAAGATTTTTTTATTTTAAATATCAATCTCAGGAAAAACAAAACAAAGCTAACATTTGTCAAATTCTGATGCTATCCCACTTGAAATATATGCATACAGACAAACACAGAATACATCCTCTCATATTCAGATTAGATTTTAGTGGTCATGTAAATTTCTTATATTTATATATTTTTTATTAATAATAATTAGAACACACTTATTTGATAAATATGAAGAGATAGACACGAAAATTTAAAGGTAATATCAAATTTTAACAGGATCCACATCCCACGTAAACACGCAATCAATTTTATTTTATTTTTTATATAAAAAATGCAAGATATCAATTTTTTTTGTCCGTAATTGATAGGAAACACTTCCAAAAGTTCAAAAATACAGTTCCATACCGATTGAAGGCGACCAAACTGGTTGGGATCTGAAAGAAACTGAAACATTTTCAGGGTCCTAGGGTGGTGCATCCACATGGTACCATCCATGTACTGCAAACCATTGGATTCACATGCTTCCAAAATCTTGTCAAGTTCACCAACGTTGAGAGCCACAGGCTTTTCAAGCAACAAGTGCTTCTTCTTCTGAGCAGCGAGCACTGCCCAGTGAAGGTGCAAGCTCGTTGGAAGCGGCACATAAACGGCGTCAACGTCAGGGTCATCGAGAACTGCTTCGTAGGAACCATAGACCTTGGCATGTGGAGGGAAGTTATTGGAAGCTGCGAAGTTTGAAGCTTTTTCCAAGGAACGACTTCCAACGGCGTAAAGGGTTGCGTTTGGAGAAAGGGTTATAGCCCTTGAAACTTTCCGAGCTATCTCTGCACAACCGAGGATTCCAAATCTTATTGGTTGTTCTTCTGTCATTTTTGCCAGAGTGAACACTGAGCTTTGGAATGTTGGTTGCTAGATAGCACAAAATTCCAATGTGTAATGTTACTATATGTACTTCCTTTCCTCTTTCTACTTTTACTCTTTGGTTGTCTTAGTGTGTTACAATTTACAACTTATAACCATAATAGGATTTATAGGAGCTTTTATGTTTTTTATGATTTTTTTTAATCAAAATATTTTTATAAAAAATTTCCTACAGAGACAATTTTCTATGGGCCTCGTGCATTGTGTTTTTTCTCTCCTTTTATCCTTTGCTTACAACCATAATAGGGTCGACCGGAGAATCGATAAACCGGTTACATAATCGGTTCAATTTAAGTAACGGATCGGCCGTGCATCAGAACCGATGCGACTCGGTCGGTTTTCATAAAAACCGGTGACCCGATCGGTTAACCGGTGACTCGGTCCCTTCAAAAAAAAAAATTCCAATACCTTTTTTTAAAAAAAAAATCGTAATGAACATATTTGAATATTTTTTTGCTTATTGACTTACATAAGTTATGTACCTACAACACTAATATTATCCTAATTATGTACTACGCAGAAAATTTTGAATTAATTTATAGTTAGAGATGTCTTTTTTTGAACCTAAAGTCTCGTATCATGATTATTATATTTTTGTTTAATCTTTTATTGGACAATAATATGTGATTTATTTTTTATATTAAAATATTTGAAATTTTTATCATTTTTTTTAGATATTTGAGTATGTTTATAATTTTTTAATATAAATTATAAAATTGCATATAATTACCGAGTCATGCGATTAAACCAGTGACCCACTAATTAAACCAATGACCCAATAATCCAGTACCTCGATCGAGTCAATCACCGAATTAGTTTTAATAAAATTGCCTTTTATTAAAAGCCTCGTTGTCACGCTCAAGGGTTTTGTTTGACCGTGTGTTATATCACAGAATCTATAGTCAGATATAGCGGATTTTGCAAAAAAAATGACATTTTGATGGTTGTCTTGTCTCATGAATCAAGAATAGAGAAAATATGGTTGAAAATGTAATCTTAGTAAGATTATTAATTGTTATTGTTACTCAATAAGTAAAAAAATTAAGACATGCGTCCGTGTAAAAGAGATTTTTCCTTTTTAAATTTTTTTTTTTCCTTTTTAGTGAGAAGTACGATTAATATCATCACTAGTCAACAGTACCACAATTTCTCAACCAGCTATATATGATTTCTTTCAATGACTGGGCATGATAATTTTTTTGGATTTTTTTTAATTTTTATTTCCAAGAATAGAAATAGATAGAATCGGTTTATTTTTTTATTTTCGAGATGAATCGGTTTAATTTTTATATTAGAAAATAAAATAAAAAATAAAATAAAAAATAAAAAAATTTCTATTTTTTTGTTCCCGAACACAAAATGAGAAACATTTATTTCTCTCAATCACTCTCCAGTCTCCACCACAACCATCATCACCACCACCACCGCCATCATCCCGACACGACCAGAGCCACTATCGTCGCCATGATCATTGTACAATCAATGTCTTCGTCACCACCACCACCACGATGCCATCGCCACCATTACCTCCACCTCTACCTATCACCATTATCACTATCACCATGCCACCGTCACCACCACCACTACCATCATCGCAGTCACTGTTGTCACCGCCACGTCCACCACCACCATCACCACCACTATCACCATTGTCGCAGCTACTGCTGTCACTACCATCACCATCAACATAAACAATACTATCACCACCACCACCATTACCGCCGCTGCCCGCCGCCATCGCCACCATTACCACCACTATACCATCGCCGTCGCTGCCACCACCACCACAATATTTGGAAAAGAAAGTAATACTCAGAAATATTTTTATTATATGGAAATATTTTTATTATATTATTTGTTATGTTACAAACGTAATTTTCATTGTCAGAATAAAAATAGAACACGTTATCAAACACATTTTTTTTCTTAAAAAATTATTCCAAGACACAAATATAAAAGAATCGTTTCTTTTCAAAAATAATGTCAACAAATAGAATGATTGTCATGCACATCCTAAAACTATTAATAATTCCATATAAAGGGTAATGCTTTTTACAAATTTTGAGGGAGTCATGGTCCCTCAAATAGCACTAAGATTTAAAAAAAAATAAAACTAGGATTTGGTCATGTAATTATCAAGTATTATTAATCCACATGTATCCACTCACGTCCATTTCAGTAGGTAAATATCTTGTCTTCTTCTCCTTTGCTTGTTCATATTCCGTAAAGCTTCGTATCTTATTGTGGAAAAAGATGCTAATATCTTGCAATTATATGCATCTTTTGTTTCTTTCTCATCAATAATAGCAAGTTACTATCATATTACAGTTTAATCTAGCAGCCGTTAACTTTGACACGTTACTAACACTGATAATTTTATTCATTACGTATGCACATAGAAATATGTGATACATTGTATAAGACCCAAATTCTCCCACATTCCTCTCTTTTTACTAGTTCAGTGAAATATTTCATTAATTGAAAAATGTTATTAGGATCTATATGATTTTATTTTATTTTATTTTTCTGATTCAAGAGCAGAAATATAAGAATAAAAAGTACAGTATAACCTCAACAGAGTTTTGAATTAGAATCTGACCCCTGTAGTTACTCTTAACTCCAGTTTACATCTATTTTTGCATGGAACTATGGGAAATAAGCGTAATTAAGGCAAGTAAAAATAATAAAATAATGAAATGATAAGAAATATAATCCCTTGAAATAAAAAGATATTATATTGATAAGAAGGAGGAGGAGAAGAGTTTTATGTGGATAGCCACAAAGAGAGAAAGAGAGAAAAGAAGGGAAGAAGAAGAAGGAGATGTAAGATTAAACTTCAAGGTTTCTTCTAGTTTTTAAGTTCAAGGTTAATAAGAATTCTAGTCTTCTCTATGCTAATTTTGAGCTTCTTGTATGGCAATTTCAGAGAGACCTTGCTTTAAAGAAGAAAGGAGGAAAACAGACAAGAAGATAGTTTTTGATGATCTAGATGATGAAGTCCTGGACCCGGAGCACAACTATCCATTGATTATTTTTGGGTTGTTAGCAAACTATCGAGTAGATAGAATGTTAGTAGACCCAGGAAGTTCTGTGGATATTATTTTTTGGGATGTATTCGGATGATTGGATTTAGATCATAATCAGTTGGAGCCTTGTGGAGCAGATTTGTTGGTATTTTTCGAGGACAAGATTAAACCATTGGGGTATATTTCTTTGAGACTGACATTAGAAAAGACACCTACTCATAAGACGGTGACTTTGACATTGGCAGTAGTGGACATTGTGTCTGCTTATAATGTTATTTTGGGCGAGCCATTTATGAAAAAATTTAAGATATTTTTGTCTATAGATCAATTAGCCATGAAGTATGTGGCAAAGGATGGAAAAACAACTACCGTGAAGGCAGATCGAGTGGTAGATCGGAGTTGTTACAACATGAGTTTGAGGATCCCTCAAGAAAGTAAAAAAGGTAGTAAGGTAGAGAAGGAAGGAAAGCCGGAAGAACTCAAAGCAGAGGAAGAAGAAGGAAGAGAAATAGAAATGAAAGAAAGCAAAGAATCTTAAGTGATGTTAGTAGGGCTGGATCACAGAGTTAAAAGTAAAGGAGAAAGGTTGAACCCATTAGAACAATGGTTGAGTTTCAACTCGGATTATTGCCCGAGTCGGTTACTTGTAACAACCCGTTGTACACCGGTGTTGTTAACATTAATTATGATATTAAGCGTAGTTGCAATCACAGCAATTCATTTATAAAAATGCGAATAAACTTTTTCCGTTATTACGAGAGTATTTAAAACAATAAAAAGCGTAATAATTAAAAGTTGTGACCATAACTGTAAACTCTTGCGGAATACTTATTTAAAATATTTTTATATCTTATTTTACTCAATACAAGACACTAAGGGGTTCCCATAAACCCACTTAGCTAATTTCTCGATTTTACGTTTTCCATCCATCCGAACATGGTTCGGTATATTCATTTACATTCTCTCAATTTTCTTGGTGTTCGTCTCATCTTTTGACATTTTATTCTACACTCAATTACCTTTCTAGGAAGCTATCAAACGCTTTATTTAGAGCTCATTTGCTCCGGATATCGCCGTTTGAAGTTGGACAAGCGAAACTGCCAACCAACCCCAAAATAGCTTCAAACATCCCTCACTCCACGAATTACTGCAGAAAATATACTCAACTAATTGCTCTCAAATTTTTAAACAACAAACTATACACCTAAACCTTCAATTTGACATATCATACACTTAATTTAACTGAGAAATGAAGCGGAAATTAATTTCACAAAAATTTCTGGACAGTCCGTGTTCACAGGTGCGTTCTGGACAATCCGTGTTCACAGGCTTCTACAGGGCTGCGTACAACCCAGAAAGTTCTCAAATTTTAACACAATGTAGAAAACATCTCAAGATTTAAAATAGCGTATGACACGTCCCTATCGGACCTCTGTGAAGGGAGATATGCTCTCTCAAATTTCGCATAAATTATGCCAATTCTACAGAAAATTCGCCAGAGTTTCCTTTGTTTTTACAAAAATCCCCAAGTTTGCAAATGCTTTCTAATACCTCAAATGTACCTAATAACCAATGGGTGGCACACACAAGGACCAACAATGCATTGGGGCACTTACAACCCAACTCAGTTTACAGTTATTACACAATTCATACCATATTGCTCACTTTATTTTTCCTTAACTTATTTCAATCTCCAATATCCATTTACATGCATTTTCTAAACATACATATAATCATAATCTTAAAATAGGCCTATTGCACTTTCATCGTATTACACATGCTTCAAATTACACAAGGTCCAAATACAATCTTTACAATTATCCAATTACAACATAATTCATAAATCTCCAAATGCTATAAAATACTTGTATCTAGACTTAGGCAAAATAGCATGAACAAATATGAACATAAACTCGTCCTATAAATAAATACCATGTTCATGTCCTAAATCTAGTCTAGGCCCAATGGCCATCAAAATGCAAAAGCATAAAGTCCTCCTACGACTCATCCTACGGGCTTCTTGCCCGCCGTCTCCTATGCCACTGCTACCTCCTGAAATAATGCCCTCAAGACGGGGTGAGATATA